GGCTCTGCCTAATTGGATATTGTTAGGATCGTTGATGGAAGAAGCAGAGCCTCTGCGTGCATGTGCCAAGCAATTGTAATTAAGGCCCTGTGGAAGCCACAGGGGTGGGTTCTTTATGAAACTGGGAATGAGTTCAATTCAATTGTGGCAACCCCTGGAGAAGTTGACTTCTTCAAAGAAAATTCTGTCTGTGAAAGATATCCAGCTGATAAACTTAGCCTGCAGCCTCACCCTGTGTCTCTCCATGGGAGTCCTCTGTCTCCCTGTCCTTTAGCGGCTACTCCTTTAAAACTTCCATGAAAGACTTACCCAGACCTCAGCAGGTTACCCTGATGGATGGCTACTGTTAAAAGTGGGAAGTGCTATACACTTCAAAATCATTCATTTCTTACTGTTATCCCCTAAAGTACTGCACTCTCTGTTCCCCTAATTTAAAAGAAAGCCCAAACCTAAGGAGATGGCCTATTTTATTTGTGCGCTACATTGATCTTAGTTGTTACGTAAATACTCTCCTCAGACATTTGAAGACGTCTCATCACAGAAGAACAAATAACAAAAACACCTATAAGTGCAATAAAAGCTACAGAACATGCTAGAAGTTTGTTCCAATCAACTTTCTCTAACTGTTCCAGTCTGATAATGACAATACCACTCTCCCTAACTTAAAAAGACTAGCTTTGTTTGATTGAGTTTTCTTTTTCTTTTTGGCAGTGCTAGGGCTACAACCCAGCACCTAGTGCATACCAGCAAAGTGCTATATACTGAGGTACATCCTACAACACCTAGGACTTATTTTAAGAATGAGAGGAACAGTAAATCTCTAAGTATCAGCTTACAGATTTGCCAATTATAAAGAAAAGAGAATCTTATTATCCTTTATCCATTAAAAAATAAAGTTTTATTACTGATTATTTAGAAAAGCGTGTAAAGAAAAAATAATCATAATCAGTCACCCTAAGGAAATCATCAGTAACTCTTATTTCTTTAGTCTTTTATTTGGATTTTTATATACTATTAATTTTAGTGTGAATTATGGAATGTATATCCAATCAGTCTTACAGAGAAAATTACCATACATCATCATAAAGGAAAGAGTAAATGCTCTAATGTTTATCATCTATTGTTTACTAGATGTAGGCACAGATGTGGGCACTTTACTAATACTTTCCATGTATTAATCATTTCATCTTTAGAATAGCCTGTATAATAACTATCTTTATGTTCCATTCTACAGGTTAGAATCAAGGAAGAGAGAAATAACTAAACACCTTGCCCACGACTACAGAGTAAGGAAACACAGAGGCAGGGCTCCAACCCAGGCCTGTCTGACTCCAGAGCTTGTTCTTACATTGTACTCAAGACCCTGGAATTTGGATGTCCTTGTGGCGGAAGATTTCACCATTCATCCACATCTTGGCTCCTTCAGGATGGGTCTTCAAGTTCACCTCCTCAGTATCAAGGCCCTCTATTGCACCCATACGAGGATGGGTCTCTGACTATTGATTACCTGACAACACTGATTTATGGATTACTCACTGCGTCTCTGATCTACCACGTACAAGTCAACATTTCCGTCTGACACTTCTCCAACTCTGTTTATTCTGAGTCCTTTGTAAGACATTGAATATATAACATCCCTCTTCTCTCCTCTTCCCTCCTGCTCTCCCTTTCTTTCCCTACACCACACTCCATTTCTCATCTCAGAAGATAACTGTGGTAACATCTTCCACAGTGGGTCTGGTGCAAAGCCCTGCTCTATCCTTTAAAAGCTCTAAGTTCTCCCAACCCTACTTATAGCCACTTTTCGTGCCTCTTTCCAGTGTATGCAGTTGTAAGTTTTCAGTGAGATCTTGTTTCCTTGCCTCCTACAATATCCATCAGAAAATGTCTTGGGGCCCCATTTTAAAAGACTACCACTGGCTACCTAGAGATAACCCAAAACATAATCCCAGTCTTTAGCAAGCAAAACAAACAACACTTTGACAGTCATTACAATTACTGATATTCTGATATGGCTGACTGAAATATAACTCCTTTTGTTTGCTTGAGAATTATAATAATATTGTATCTCTTTCAGGTTTATTTTAATGCTATAATTTGGACAATTATCCAACAGAATTGCTGGCAAGCATCTGGAAGATATCAATTTGAAAGAACCAAATAGTAATTCTCTTATTGTAAGAGAATAATACAATTTTTAAAGTTTCAAATTATATTCACGGTGAAAAACATCCAGCATAACAAGTCCTCTGCTATAAAAATGTCTGTGATTATTAAACATAATCCATATAATGAGAGATTTACAAATTGTGAATTCCACATAGAAATGTATTTTCCACCCCTCAGGATAACCTCAGTTAATTCTGCCCTTGGGGTATCATTCACATTTAATTTATCACTGATGTTTTGGAAGAGAAACTGTTTCTCCTTAGGACACATCCAAAAAAATAAAATGACTAGCATGCATTACAGATTGTACTCATTCTATCCATGGCAGAGGAAGGCTACTTCAAGAGAAGTCACAGAATCAATTATTGTCTTAAACCTAGAGAAGACTATGACCATGAGTTATTGGAAATGTAAAACCTAAAATTGAGGATATGCATCCTTCACTTTCAAGTACAAATTGTCCTTCTAACCCTGGTCTGCTCACTTAGGAGAAATAAGAAGGTTTCTCTTTTCCTGCCTCTCTTTCTCATTAACTCTACTCCAACTTTCATAGTCAATAGGCTAAGTACCAAGCCAATAAAATCAACTAACAAGACCTCTCTCACCGTCTCAATGAGACTAAGTGACTGAGAGGGTTCACTTTCCTTGTGTTTTTGTCTCTTTTCAAGAAGAAATTGTTTCCCCATTGATTCCACTGAATCAACTTATTACAGCATTATTCAGCAATTGTAAATTTTAGACCCGTGCTCCATCCAAATCTCCAAAAATTAAGTGGGCATCCAAGTGTGGCTGAGGCCAGGTTGCAAGGGTTACAGACTTTGAACCAGCTTTTAGGCATCTAGCAAGAGCCCATCAGAGCATCATAGAAAAAGAGCTGACCATGTTTGATAAGAATCTATACCCCTCAGCTGAATCACACCATAGTACTCAGCATTTCACATAAAAACCATGGGTGATGATTTTAACTCTGCCATCAGAGATGTCTGTATCATCAAATAACTTATGGCTACATGTACTTATATAAAACTTGACTGCATTTTAGTAGCTACTCTATGTTGTTATAAGGGAGGACACTGAGCTGACCGCAGAGCAGAAATTCATCTGAATTTATTCTACACTTCCGCAGTAAGTAGAAAGGCCACAGGAATTGACATCAAAGGCCAGCGAGCTTTTCCTTGCTTGGCTGCTAGCTGGATATGGAACTTTCGGGCTTCAGATTTTTACATCGATAAATGTGAAGGGTGAATTAGATAACTTCTCAAACCTTTTGAATTGTGTTTTATATTAGCTGCCACCAAGAATGTCATCAGGGTCCAACATACTCTAATGAATGAAAAGAAGAGTTTCGTGGACCCACAGTCCCTTTCTCCAGTGGAAAAGACAAACACATATTCAAAAAAGAATCCCCTTTCCCAGTAGACTTTTCATGTACAGCATTTCACAACAGAGACCGTCAAAACAGCTGTGGAAGGAGATCGTGACTCTTGCCTGTTCTACATCCCAAAAGGCAAAAAAAATGTTTTGTAACAAACATTGCTTGTTTCAGCGTAGCGTATGATGCACATTTCTTGGATTAACTTCTCAAGCTTTGTACATGTGATACACAAATAATACTAATTGGGTATCTTTTGCAATCTGGAAACCAATAAAGACTTTCTTTAGGCAAGACAACATATGGAGAGAAGGACAGATGCACTTTCATGGAGTGGTTAGCCAAGTGGTTTAAGACGAGCCTGCTCAATGAGAAAAACTTCCACTTGTACCTGAGCATTCCTTTTGAAGGGAAAGATGTTCATGGTTATTACTTTTCCCAATTCCATATCACAGTCTTAAAATAAAAATGCTCATCCTTCAGGCTAAGCGATATATATAATCATATACACATATTATTATAAATATGCTAATAACATTTTACATTAACACAGAGGATGAAAATACTTTGGAGAAGATACTGTAGCTCATTAATCCTTGAGATACCCAGGAAATAGCTAGGGGAAAGCAATAGTTTGCCAACTTTTTCAAATGATAGAAAACTACATGGTTTAAGCAGACTGTTTACTCAAAATTTTCTCCTGAATTTTTAATAGAGCCTTACAGAATGCAAGAATGCTAACTGTGAGTATAGACTGGCTTCTGCTATACTTCTCATAAAAAGATCAAAAGAGGTCAGTAATTCAGTATTTTTTTTTTCTTCTCTGCCTTTTCTCCCTGGATCCTTCTAGCAGCCTCTGGTCCTTGGCCAGGAAAACCACCAGACAATTTGCAATAGTTGCTTGCTCACAGACCAGGGAGTTTTCCAGCTGTCTCCTTCCTGTCTTCTGCTCCATTTCCCCCAGGAAGAGCCCTTTAATTTGCAACGCAGCTTAGCTGCATGGTTTGCTCCCAATTCAAAGTTGATCTGACTGCTTCATGCTTAACTTGAGGACCTCCCCCAACCACCACCACCAGGCATCAAACTCAGGATCTTGCCCTTGCACTTGCAAAGCAGGCGCAGCACCACTAAGCTAAACCCCAGCCCAAACTTGAGGACTTCTTAATGGCAAGAAAAGCCCCCGCCTAAGAAAACCCCCTGCCTCCCACACCAAACCTGTAGATATCCAGGGCCTTCAGAAGAATGTGGGCATGACTCAGCCTCTGCTCTGTCCAGGGAAGGAGAAAGAAAGCTACACAAGTCAGTGCCAACAAAACCTAGCCCCCTTAAGGAAGGAAATAGTTCCCCTCCACCCACCCACCCAGGATGCCAGGGTCTCCAGAATATTCTCAGGAAAACCTGAGGGAACCCTCCACCCCCACCCTGTTCAGCTAGGATAACAGTGTTAGAGGGAAGTTACCATGAGGGCTGTGTATGTGTAGGGATAGTGGTAAGCCAGGTAGCAGACATCTTCACTGTGTGGGAAGGTGACGGCAAAGGTGAGAGTGTAATAGCACTTCCCAGATGCTCCACCCATGGCAGCTGCACTCTGGCGATAATGATTTCTATAGAAAAGAGGAGAAAAGAATAAGGGAGGGATGAGGGGAAAGTCACACAGTGTCCTAGATGTTATAAACCCTGTGTGTTGTACACTAGCAAAGCAGGCTTAACTCAAACCACTTTTGTGTGTGAAATTTAGGAACCAGAGAAATGTGCAAGTGAACTCACAGTGAGGTCACAAGGTGGCTCAGCAGTCCATAAGCCTGGCCCACCTGCTTCCCGATTGTGGCAAATATGCCATGGGCCCTTCCTTCCATGTCTGAAAATGAAGGCTGCAGTCATTGAGCTAGAATATAGAAGAAAATGTAAATAATTCTGTGTGTCCTGGGATTCAACTGCAGACATCACTTCATTACCCAAATTTGGGTTCCTCTGATCCCTGTCTGTCCCAGGCCACATAAGATGCAGCTCCTTCCTTTCCCTGCAACTGCCAAATGGATTTTACTAGTGATCAATACTAAACAATGAGTCTCACCTCCATCCTTAATATATGTTATCTTATGTTATTATTGCAATATCCACTGTGTGGATAAAGAAATGAAAACAGAAAAATTACTTTGCCTAAGGTAAGATATATCATGTACAGGTACAAATTCCCAATAATGAATGTGATCATAATCTATTTCTAAAATGTACCAATAAAGTTAATAACAAAAAAGACAAGTGATGGAAACAGGGCTCAAGCTGAGATCTTTTGTTCTTTCTACTATACAATACTTTCTTTCCAAAGGAATGTATTTGTCACCCAAATGTAGTTCAGCATCTTAAAGCTTGATAATGCACTGTGACTTTTGTCAAAGATGAAGGACCAGTCTTGATACTTAAGAGAACTGTATCAAAGAAAACTGCACCCAGAAGAACATTCCAAACAATATTTTCTCCACATGCTGCCAGCTGTGTTCCTGCCCTGGCTGTTGACACTGAGACAGCTGTGCAAACTTTCCAGGGAAATGTTAGCAGTAAGGCTGCATTATAATGCAAAATATACCCAGACACCGAACGATGCAATTCCACCTTTGAACACACACAGATTTGGCTCACTAGCCTATTGTACTTTTGGTTTTATTAGGGGGAAAGTGGAAGTAGGAGAGAAATAGACTGCTACTCTGGTGTATATCTTGTAAAATATAAAAATCATAGGTTATAGGTTATTCTTTTCTGCCTTTTTGCTACCTTTGTGCTTTCCCCCACCAGAAAAAAAAAAAAAGCATATAATAATGGAACCAAAAGAAAATGGACTTTAATTTTCATAAAATCAGGGACAGAAATAAGAGAAGCCAGTGATCCCTCCAACTGTGAGACATGTTTCACCTGCCTCAGCTTTTGTCAACATGGCAACCTGAAGCCAATGGCATTCTAGGGAAAAAAGATATCCACGACAACCTATGCCCTAAGCAACTATCCCACCAACTTCTCAACATCACATTAATAAAAACAATATCCTTTGTGCTTATAGAAATAAAAATTAAAAATATGAGGAATGTTTAAATTTTTTAAAATGTATTACAGTAAAAGCCACATTGTTATTATACCCCTCAAAATACTGGCCTTCACTTCAAGTGCATTTACTCCGTAGTTCTTGCCACTTCCTATAGCAGTTCTGGAAATTCTCTTTCATGAGTTTCTTTACTTGCACTGTAATGGCTGCCTTGATGTCCTTAATTCATTCAAAATGTTTACCCTTCATGGTCATTTTGACTATGGGGAAAAGCCAGAAGTCATATGGTGCCAAATCTAGTGAATAAAGTGGCTGAGGTCACACTGTAATTTTTTGCAAGCCTGACTTTCTGATGGATGGAACTTAGTGGCAGTACTCACTGTATTTCTGATCATACCTCATAAAAGACACTCATGAAAAAGAATTTCCAAAACTCCTTTAGAAAGTAGCAAGAATGACAGGGTAAGTGTGTTAGAAGTAAGGGGGAATTTTTTTTTTATGTAAGGTTTTTCTTTTATTTAAAAGATCATTCACAAAATACCATATCCATAGATTTACTTTCTGTCATACAGCTGAATGTGTTGTGTTTGGAATTCCACCCTGGAATCTGGAAGCCAGCTGGGTGCTCAGCCATTTGGATGGATTTGTTTTGCTCTTGATCTTTCTGCATTGAGGATGTGTATGGGTCATCTCAAAGCATCGGGTTTGTTACAACCACATAATGCATGTCTTTCTTAAATTAGGGGTTGGTGTTACACAAATGGTTCTTATCTCAGAAGCAGAGAAGATGACAGGCAGAGGGGAGAAGTGCCAGTTCTGTAAGTTGCTGAGACCTTGCAACGGAGACAAATCAGAGAGGCCGAGAATGACAGCTAGTGGGGAACCCCAAGCCAAACAACTACACTGTTGTCCCCTTGGCCTTCCAGCCATCCTGACTGGGTCTCCCTTCCCCGGGGCTCTAGCAGCAGACTGAGACTCAGGCACTAAAGGATTTCCCATCTGCTCACACACAGGAATCTGAGCTCAAAAATTGCTGCCCAACACCTTCCCAGGTGAGCACCAACTACTGCACATGAGCAAGACCGTTCCAGAGACAAGGTGGCCAGCCTGAACATCTATGGTCCTCTGCAGTCAGTAAGGGTCCAGACAGCTCAGCATGGGAAAACTTCCAATACTCATGGGAAATAAAGTGCCAGTTTCGAGGCCATTTCCACTACGGGTTCACAGGGCAGTGGGAAGCAGTCTCATCAGGCTACTTTTGGGAGAACAGACGCACAGAGGAAGACACCGGCAGACAACAGGGATGTGGGGAAGGCCATGTCCACATCACTGTGTCAGCCCAGTGCAGCAGCACCACCACCCAGTCCCCATAGCACCCAAGCCCCAAGGTAATGACATGAGCCACTAGGCAGCCACACCAGTCAGCACAGGGGAGCCCCTAATGCCTTGGCAGCAGGGAGCTATCTGGACACAGTCTCGGGAGAGCACAGCAAGCTGTATGAACACACAGCCCCTGGTTAACAGGTGAGGAGCACCACCAACACAATCGTCACTCTTCCCCAGGGCCTTGCAACTACTCTGCCTGTCCCATCCCCAGGGACAGCTGATGGCACCAGGACACCCTAGAAGCAGGACCACAAAAGTGGGAGGAAGCTTCAAGGCTCAACAGAAATTTTTCCTTATTTCCAATACGAGGTGTTTCCAATTCTGCATGCTGATCACAGCTGGATACAAACAAGGAGCTGGCCAACTTGCCAGCAACTTCTGCTTTTTCCCAGAAACCATGGCAGCACAGAACTCAGCATGCGGGTCAGAAGAGAAGCACTGAGAAAATCAAGTCTGGCCCATGTCGAAAATAAAAAGAGAAGGCAAAGGAGAAGAACCAAAGCAAGCAGCACCTGGGCCTGCCCCTCCCACGTGGCGGCCCTCACTCCTCCTCTAGACACCTCGTGGTGCAAAGACACGGAAGCAAGAGGGAAGGAGGACAGAGGAAAATGAGGACAGAGAAGGGGAAAAAAAGCACGAAACAGGCACTAGAAACAGCAAAGCCAAGGATGTACTAAAAACCACTTGTTAACAGCTGACATGCATTCACAAGCTCTGTTTCCACTGTAGGAAGGACAGTGTCAGGCGCAGGAATGGTGACTGCGGGGCGGCCGGTCCAAGGCCCTCAGGCTGGGGTCTTGCTCTAACTCCCCACACCCCATTCCCCACTGCGCGCTCATTCTTGTTCCTTGTTAAGGACTTCCTCTCTGGGCCGGGCTCCCCCGAAGATGGCGGAGTTGGGGTTGGCTGCTCAGTTGAGGGGCGTTGCCATGGTCCGAGGTTTGAGCTGGAGCCCTGGTCTCTGGCTCGTTCCTCTTCTGTGGGTTCTCGGAAGTCCATGTTGGAGCCGCGCGCGCAGTGGGGGGCGTCTCGGAAGCGACTCCCCATGGGAGGGCCTGCTCGCCGGTCCCCTGGGCGGCTGCCTCCTTGGCCTGGCCTCCTCGGTAGTCATCCCTATAACCTCTGTCATCTGGTCCACCTTTCCTGAATCCAAAGCCACCTTTATCTTGTTTTCTGCCTTCTGCAGTGTCCACACCAAGTGACCGATCACCAAACAGTGCACCATCGTAGGTCAGGGCTTCCTTTAGGGAGTCCACTTCATCGAATTCTACATAGCAGAATCCTTTGAACTTGTCTGTGTCTTTGTCTCTGACTAGCTGTACACTCCTTATGCTGAGATCCTTAAAGATAGCCTTAAAGATAGCGTCTATGTCACCCTGAACTGTATTAAAAAGGAGGTTTCGTACATAGGCTGTGTAGGGGGCTCTGTGGGCAGCTCCTTCTGGCTACGGGAACCGTGGCTGCCAGCGCTCCCGCGGGATCCTCTGCCGCCGCGAAGCTGATGTAGGCCCGTCGTAGGTATCGAAATCCGCCATTGGCCGTCTCTGCTCCGAGAGGAACCAGGAGAAGCCAAGGGGGAATTTTTTGGAGGGAGATTAATGGCAATGTGTCTTTTATTGTACTAATTTTTTAAAAGTTAAACATTCACTGCATTTCTTGATCACACTTGTAAATCTTGATACCTAATTGGATCTACTTTTTACAAATTTCTTCAAAGTTCTGAAGTTTTTCCAAAATCCAAGACTGTGCTTATTAGAAAATATGCAAAGCACTTGACAGCTTATAAATCATGCAAGACACGTATACTCCATCTTTCATTGGCTTTCTGGCTTCACTTGTAAAGGCTCCATCACAAAGACATACTCAGTTTATTCCTAGGTGAACCGCACATTCTAGTCCATTACAGCTCCTTGCAGTAGAAAAGCTAATGAAATAAAATGACCTGGGGACAGCCAATCAAAGCATGAAAGGGTGCTTCATCTGTGAGCATATACATTTGAGTACATGCACACACAAACATTTGTGGATATAAAGGCAGGTGGAAACACACATCTAGTGCCTCATTATTGCCAGGTTCCTCACCCTCAAATGGTGGAGAAAGAATCTGCATTTTGACTCAGAAATAATAGATGCCTATTATGGTTTGTGTTTAGATGTACCCCCAAAGTCTCATATGGTCAC